CTGGGAAGGGCGTGGCCCTGGAGGGCCTGGGGCTGGGTGGGCATGCCTTGGAGGGTGTGGTGCTGGGAAGGGCGTGGCCCTGGAGGGCGTGGTACTGAAAGGGTGTGGCTCTGGAGGGCCTGGTGCTGGGTAGGCATGGCCCTGGAGGACGTAGTGGTGGGAAAGATGAGTCTTCTGGGCCAGGTATTAGGGTGGGTGTGTCCCTATAGGGATGTGGGGAAGATTGAGAAGACTTTGGCCAGGTGCGATAGCACTGGGGTGGGTATGTCCAGAGGGCGTGGCACTGAGAAGGGTGTGGCCCTGAGGGTGTGGCGTTGGAGGGGCATGGCCCTCGAAGGATTGGGGATGGGAAGAAAGGCCAAGCCACTGGAAAGGAAAGTGGCGCTAGGAGATGGGCGTGGACCATAAAGGCGGGACACCGGGCGGGCGTGGTCTGGGGGCGCTGGCCCGGGAGGTGGGGCACGTAGAAAGGGGTGTGGCTGAATGGGGGCGGGGCGGGCCCCAGCTAGCGGTCAGCCGCCAGCGCACGGTGCAGACCGCGGGGTTCCGGAAGCGGGCGGCGGCCTCGGTCCACCAGCGACGTACTCGCATGACGAGGATCGCTCACCTACTAGGTCCTGCCGTGCCTGCGATCCAGGTGCCTGAGCTGCCCATCTGAAAACCTACCTCGGCCGCGTTTCTCCGCTGAGTTCTGCGCCTACACCGCAGAGGGGCAGACGATCCCTACCAGAAGCCTGGGCCGCCGCCCTCGACTCGCGCAGACGCAGTGCGCGCGCGCCGTCCCCAAAGCCGGACCCGCCCGGGTCCCAGCCTCCCGCGCAGGCGCAGTCCGTAGGTGTTTCCGCAGTCCCGGAAGCGGAACGGCTGCCCAGGGCGCGCGCAGGCGCAGTACACAGAAGCCGTGGAGCAGGAGGCCCCGCCCAGGGCCCGAGGCTCCGAGCCGACGTGCTTGGCAGCTTGGCCCCACGCGTTACGCTGGAGGTCGGCTCACCGGGAGGTCGGGGTGGCGTCCTGCTGGGGATAAGGATAGGCAGTCCTGGTGGGGGGTCGGGATAGAGAGCGGCCTGGGGTTCCTGCTGGGGATGGGGAGAGGCCCCAGGGTCCATGTTAGTGAGTCTCTTGTCGGCTTTGATAAAAACCAGTAGCCTCGAGGGGAGCAACCCGGTGGCAAGGACCCCTAGGTACTCTTGAGGTTGACAACCAGCCACCAGCAGGAAACCACCTCAGTCTAGGACCTTAGGAAACCCTATTCCTCCAACAACCAGTCTTCTGGGACTGCAGAAACCACGTGCCACGGACTGGGGGACCTAAACAGACGTTTTCTCAGTCTCAGTGCTGTTGGCTAGTCCTTCTCATGACCTCATTGAACCTCGTTTACCTCCTTAAGACCTCAGTTCACCTTGGCTTCAACGGATGATTGTGGGGGCATAATGGCCCAGAAAAAAAATCCCAAGAGAAATGAAAACGTACATCCAAAGCAGCCTTGTCTGAGGATGTTCATGGGAATTTTAGTTATATCAGATAATATTTGTGTGTCAATCAACAGGAACATGGGCACAAGTTGTCGCTTATCCACACACAGACTGAAGCAGGCCAGAGACCCCTACCCAGAAGACCCTTACCATAATTAAGCAGAAACCCTCACCATATTTGTGGTATATAAGTTGCTCTTCTTATCAGAGAGCTTTTTGCATAGGACATCAGCTATCAGCAACAATCTGCAGAAGGCACTGTGTTTTGTAGCTTCCTCTTTATTTATAAATGCCAGGTTTGCAGGAAAAACTCATAAAACCCCTCTAGAGGATGGAAGGGAACGCGCTTGTCATATGAACCTCCTAGCCCCCACCAATTCAAAGAATTTCTGTACTCATGTTCAGAGGATGAATTCTTAGGTGAGAGCCACCTCTGAACCCTGCAGTCAATAAACCTACTTCCTGAAAAATTCCTCAGCTGTCCAGTCTCTTCTGTCCTACTTGAAGATCATGGCCCATCCACAGACAGTGGTCTCTTTCTACAATGGGGCAATGCTCAGGAACATCATTAAGAAATGCATACTGGCAAGAGCACTCCCCTGCTGCTACTACACTGAGACAGCTGAAATTGAACAGGGGACTCTTGTGACCCTGCACCCTCCTGCGGGCAAGAATGCTGTGAAATCTGCCTGCTRCAAAGGCAGAGGCCTCTCTTGGGATGGAAGGTGGTCTCTGGCAAGATGGGTTCCTGGGGGCAGCAAACAACAATGGATCCAGAGCCCTTTGGAGTGGAGCTGGGCTCACACCAGAGTTTTCTTGCACTGAGGCTGAGGAATTCAAGAGTGTTTGCCCCACAGATTTTGAATCTTCGACTTCCTTGCACGTCTTCCTCCCCATTTTGAGTGGCAGCACTGCTTGTGCTTTCCTGGTGTCTCTCCAGGGGGTGTGGAGGGGCACAGTGTGTTATATTAGCTCCCAAACCTCTGGAACAAGAAGAGATGCTACCAAGGAGCCTCAGCTGCTGCCAGGCCTGGTTTAAACCAGGTACGGGCGAGACTCAGGGGGTCCTACCAGAAGGCGAACAAGGTTGAGCAATGTAAATATTTTGTGGCCAATGGGCCAAACTTGGGAGATTGCAAAAGCCATCCCACTCCAGTTACCTACAGCAAGGGCAGGCCCCTCGAGTCTAGGGTGGCCAGAGGGTGTGCTTTAACCTAGAGAAGTGGCAAAAGTCATTGGGTATGATTTAAGTTTAGGATTTGAGGCCTGGGTTTCCATTCTAATACTCTTGAATCCTGCACCACCAGGTTCTCCCAGCAGAAGATTCTCAAAGAAAAGGGCTCACGACAAAGATGGAATCCAGGACACTGTCAGGAAGACCTGTCTGTAAAATAGGCTGGGGCTGTAAAACTCCTGTGTTCAGATTTGAATTGCTCCTTTAAGTGAGCAAAGGCCTCTGTGAAGGTCTTCTCAGGCCCTCATTAATTAGCCCTTCCAAGAATCTTTAGAGCATTGCTTCACAACACTCTCTCAAAAGGAGCCCAAAATAGGAAAGAGCCTGTTTAAAAGATAATCAGAGCCAGGCGCGGTGGTGCACACTTGTAATCCCAACAGCTCGGGAGGCTGAGGCAGGAGGATTTGGAGTTCAAACCAGCCTCAGGAAAAGTGAGGTGCTAAGCAACTCAGTGAGACTCTGTCTCTAAAGAAAATACAAAATAGGACTGGAGATGTGGCTCAGTGATTGAGTGTGTCTGAGTTCAATCCCTGGTACTCACCCCCGATTGGATTTGCCAATTGGGTGAACATCCATAACATTCATGGAAAGCTGCAACTTATCAGGAGAATGATACCATCAGAGTCAACACTAATGTGGATTAAACAAGCCCAAAGTAATGCAATAGAAGCCTCTGACTCAAAGTGGGCCGGGTCAAGGCCCAAAGCCAGAATTGCAGCCATGGGGGCCATCGGGAACAGTGTGTCCCTGCGTTGGGCTGGATCTCAGGATTGTTGTGGACAGTGCACACTTCCTGTCTTTCACGGTACCCCTTCAGGTGGGCCTGTCTACTGTGGCACCTGGTCCCTGTCCCACTAGTGGGAGTCAGGGCCCTGGCCTCTCTAGGTCCCAACTCTTTGGGCTGAGAAGGAAATGTCCCTGAGCCGCTAATCCAGAGGAACTACGCAAAGTGCTTCATCATGCAGGATCCTGACGGGTCCTGGAGTGGGATGCTGAAGGGGCGAGGCCCCAGGGTCTTGGGCAAGTGTGTGGAGTGTGGCCACAGAGTAGACTGTATTTTCACAACAGGTCTCCCACCCAGTGTGTTGCACCGCTTCAGCAAGAGGTGGCTTCTAGTCCTGTCCTTTCCATTGCAGTTGGCCTCACGGCCTGTCTGTAACCAGGAGATGATGGGTGGGCCAGCATGACCGCTGAGGCAGCTCCCCTGAAAGAAGTCCTCCTGCAGAGGACCTGTCCTCCCCACCAAGGGCCAGACAGGGGAGAAGTCCTCCTGCAGAGGACCTGTCCTCCCAACCAAGGGCCAGACAGGGGAGAAGTCCTCCTGCAGAGGACCTGTCCTCCCCACCAAGGGCCAGACAGGGGAGAAGTCCTCCTGCAGAGGACCTGCCTTCCCCACCAAGGGCCAGACAGGGGAGTCCAGCCATATGGTCCCCAGACCAACTCCAGCGCCAACTGAATACCACAAGCGACCTCAGCGGAGAAAAACACTGGCCCAAATCCTTACCTGGAGAACTCCTGGGCTCAAAGAAAGTGTGTTTCTTCAGCTGTACATTTGCAGTACTTTCCATAGCAGCAACTGGATTCTCCTGTCATGTGAGGAAGGTCTCCCCTGCATGGGAGGCGCAGAGGATGTGAAGTCATTGGTGATGGAGTTCTGGCTGCTTCTCAAAGTCCTTCAATTGCCTTTGGCCTTCATGGGTAGAAGCATAAAACTTCTTAAGTGCAGGGTTTACAGTTGACTTTTTAATCTGAAGAAAGTCAGTGATTCAAATATGCATGCAGAACTCTTCCTACTAGCTCTTAGAAAAATAACTGAGGAATTAAATGTAGGTGCACTGTCCTAGTGCACTTCTGGCTGCTCTATCAGAACACAATCTGGGTGATTTAGAAGCAGTGGAGGTTGATTTGGCTTGTGGTTCTGGAGGCAGGTGAGATGGCGTCACTGCTGCACTGACATGCAGGAGAAGGAACCAGAGATGAACACACCCACACCCACGCCCATGCCCACTGCCACTGACCCTCCAGCTGCACCTGCGCTCCTTACTGCACAGGCAGAGCTGTGTCCTTAGGTCCACGGCTCAGCACTGCTGGTTGGGGTAAGTTTCCAAAACATGACAAACCATGGCACCCGTGTTCCTTAAATCACTTCTATCTTTCCTAAATGACTTATTAAAAAATACATTGGATTTACAAAGAGAACTATTGCCAAAATGTCGTAGAAAACCCTCTCCCGCTTCTCTGAAGAGCAGGCATTTCTGCATGCTTCGAGCGTGGACTTGACCAAAGGCTGCCCAGACTCAGATCTCGGCTGTAACACACCACAAAGTAATGGAGACACTGAGCCACTTTCCCCATACTTAGACAAATGCCCATTTCCCAGACTGGCTGAGCCTCAGAATACCTGCTGAGCTGCTTCTCCTGGTTGGGATCCACCCCACCACGACCCTTTCTGGGTAACTTGTCATATAAGTGCTTTGTAGCTTTGGGGACACTCTGGATCTCTGACCCAAGCCATGTCCCCACAAATGGTGCTGAGCCCAAGACTGTGCATATCCAGCCACTATCAGGGACCCTCTGCCTCAAGGACCTACAACTCTGTCCCCCTAAGCAGCTCCTGGGGCCACTGAGCACCTGGAGTGGTTGGGACTGCTGCCACAAAGGAGGGGGCAAGGGCCCTCTGCCCAGTGAAGCCACATGGGACACCTGAGTTGCCTGCAGGTAGAGCGTTGTCACAGGTTGCAAATTCTGTCCCTGCAAGAGTCACCTAAGGCCCTACTCCAGGGTAGGTTCGCCGTGTGGCTGCAGGCCACCCTCTGGCCAGCTCAGGCTGGGGCAGAGCCAGCCCACAGGCATTGGGTGAGCAGGAGGCCCTGCCTCAGAGCGGATTCCACACAGGGGTGCAAGCTGTGGCATCCTGGGCACCTGAGATTTGCTCTAAAGCTGTGATCACCAAAACACTGCCCTTGTCCCAGGCCCCAGCGGGAGCAGGGGGTCTACAGCCAGGAGGCACTGAGCTGAGCTCCCATGGGGCTGGATTCTGGGTCACATTGCAAGAATCCTGCTAAAGGTTCTAAA